ATAATATAATGTATATATTAAAGTTAATCCTAAGGATTCGTATCGATTCGTTTCAAGTTGTCGGGCTAGGCTAGGATTTCTCTAAAACTGCTTAAGTCCTAACACGTGCTTCTATGAATAATTTCACAACGATGTACCGAAGGGGCAGTTGTTAAATGAGTTATCAGGTTGATGGCAAGAAATGATAAATATCTCTGAATAAAGCAGCAGAAATAATCCAGCACGTTCGATCACGTGTTAGGACCCTTTAGGTTCTGAGCTATTTCCTCGAAGAAACAATAATAGCATCGGCAGTTGAGCAAAATCTCGTGTAATCCACCTAAATTCTCTACGCCTCAATATATCGAGGCTGTCGTAAAACTGGAAAGAATTGGAAAGATTTCCTTTCTCGATATTCGTAACACTGATTGGTCGACTTTTCGATCGCTTCACTACCATGTAGCTAGAGTTTCTTATTCGAATCCCTCGTTTGTTTCAGGATATCGAGGTTCAGATGAACTTAGCTGCTGTGACTGTATGCAGTGTTCGTGTAAGGTCCGCTATATATGGACGAACCCGTCGTCGAAACGCTCTTGTGTCGCCTCTTGGCCAACAGTACCAAAATGGCCGCGACTACCGCCAGCATGAGGATCAGACCCGCGATCGCGATGCCGATGGCGAAGCTCCTTTGCGATATGCAGATGCTGTTGGGATCATCAATAGTCTGTAAATGTAAGTTGAAGTCAAGCTCAGTTATCTTCCTTCGCATTGATTAAATTTTTTTCTTCTAGGAATTATGATTCTTCTATCGAGAAGTCGATGAAGGAGAGGAATATCAATGAACTTACCCTTTCTCTGAAGACATCATCGGTGAAGTCCGACTTGGAGCCAATGTCCGAGGCTTCGTTCACATAAAGTCCGCTATAAACCTCGATGGTAGCTGGCGTTCCTCCGTCCAAGCCTTCGACACCTTTCACTGTATTATCGTTAGCAGTGTCCCTGCGTCGTCTGGATACCAAATTACACGCCGGTGGCTGCAACAGTAGAATATTGATGATCACTTTTGGAAACTCTCCAAATGACTCTTCGTGGGATTCTACTCTTCGAATCTTTACGCAGTGCAACAGTTCTTTCTTATCTTTCGAAGCTATTATTTAGAACTTGAACTTCGATACTAAAATATTTGTTTACCGTATTGCTGCATCCTCCACCGTGTTTCACGCATAATCTCACGTTACACTGATAATAGACACTGGCTGTATAGGGGAACTTGTGTGCTTGGAAGTTCACCTTTGCCTCTGTTTTATCCTCGTTGTACGTGAACTGTCCCATGATTTCGCCGTCAACTGGGCAGCTGCAATAAAAGCGCACTTTAGGTAGGTGTTATCACGTAAGAAACTTTTCATACTTGTTTTATCCACGCAGAAATTATTCCATGGAAATCGATCAATAAGAAAGCGTTTTATTGTGAACTCTATCGTAAACACCAGAAATTTGACTGGCTCTGAGTTATACGAGCAAGTCGAGAGGGAAAGTGTGCGTGCAACCTGTTGGTTGGATCAGCTGATTTGCTTATGAAAAGAAGTCAGTGAACCGACCCGCTTTGTACCCTGAATTCCGAACCTTGAATAATTCATCGTATGCTCTGACGCGAGCAATTTATTTGTACCTGAATGCATGCCGAAGAATTGTTCTTACGGCCGCTTTCCTGTCTATTATTAAACATCTCCGTGGATAGAATAAAGTAAAAGAAACGAATTAAGTTGGAAGACATAATTTTTGCTTCAGTATATGCAAGATAAAATTACCCCTCGTCGTTTATAAGCCTCTGCTCTCCCCATCCTAGGCCATCGCGCACCAGGCAGTCGGAGATCTTCAAGCCGAACATTTCCTGTTTGTCGATGCTAATGACCAAGGTCAGAGGGTCTCCGATCTTCACGTTTTCCGCCACTTGATGCCTCGTTGGATCTCCGCTGAAGATCTTCATCGTGCATCCTGGCATAGGAGCTGTTGCCTGTCGAGAGACGTAAAACGCAATTTATTATTCATCTACGGAACGTTCCTTGATCTTTCGTTCCTCGATTGCACGATTCTTTTTTGCCAAGAAGGGAAAAAGGTTACCTACGTCTTGTACTAAATTAGAAAATAGACTCATCCTGAATACCATAATCAAGCATTACGTTTGATATTGCTGTAACTTGGGCTCTATTAGAGTTTATAGCAATAATCAGATAAACACTTATTAGATATAAAATTTGAGGGAAAATGGCATCGTTACCTGGAGCGGTAGGGACTGCAGCATGGCTACGTGGGTATGATCGTTCGTTACTACTTTGTCTCGCGTCTGGTATCGACATCTCACATGAAAACCTCTGCCCTGGTTCGTGACCAGCTTCAGGTGTGGTTGTACCACTATTGTATTGAAGTATTCGATACCGCCGTCGTCCTAGAACAAAGTTGCACGATTTTCTTACATTACATTCTTACGAATAACTTTATTCTTACATAGTAAAATATTTTAGTCCCAATGTCTTTGATCTTATCAAAATTACGATTTGTCTATTTGAAGTAGCTCAGTCCATAGACATGCTCAGCTTCAGCTACATGCCTAGATCACGCTGAATCACTACGAGACGCCTTTTTTACAATATCAGGCACATAAAGTAAATCAAGTCACACCATACTAAGTGATTCTTATCTGTACCCCTTTCTACACTGTACCATTGTAGATCGTTTCGTTCGTTGTTTGAACAAGCGAGCAAGAACGCGTGTGTAGAGGCGGGTTTCGGTGTGGCTGTTGCAGTTCTCGTTTACGAGCGTTTCGGCCGCGGTAATCGTTGCTGTGACGCCGATCACGTTCCCTTGGACTTTCAGTCCTCCGAGCAATCCGTCTGTCCTTGCACCCTGCTAGCAAAAACCGGACCATTCGCTCCTCGCCTTCTCTCCTCGCCGATTCTTCGTCACGTTCGTTTATACTGCCGAGAAAGGAGCAGCTTCGTCATTTCTTCCCTCGACCACGTCCACTTCGCCGCCATGCCAGCACGTTTCCCTTTCGTGTACCATGAACCAAGTGAAATTGATTACTTATTAGTTCCCTCGATATTCTGAATGGTGCTACATGACACACGATCAAAAGAACTGATCGCAAAATGTATAAAGAATGTTTTAAAGTTCACGGTAGGTAGGCTGTTTCCTTTGTTTTAAATCTTTTCTTTCATTTGTAATCCGTTACTACTTCCAACCATTTAATTTTCCAGGTCGATTAATTCTTTTTGGCGCATTCATGCATGCTGGCTGTCGGATCATTACCATTAATACGAACGATAATCGCCTCTAATGAGAGTAATTCGCAATCAAAGCTTCCTGCTGCAATGACGGACAATAAGTGTAATCAAACGACGACGATGATCGTTCTTAGAGAACAGAGACAATTATCTGTGGGCGTTTCAGTTGCGATTATGTGTTTGCCTAGCTACCCCTCGCACCATAGCGATCGAGCAAGCCATGAAGAAAGCTTAAAAAGTTCGCATAAAAATAATATCGTTACTGCATGCATTGATTTCAATTTAACAGTGAGGTCATTCTTGTCCAAAAGAGAAACGAACGATGAGAATTTACGACGAATTGATTATTATCATTAGCTTATAGAATAAGATAATTCGAAAAAATGATGCATAAGTACGGTTTACGATGTTAAGAATGCTTCGTCCTTCCTAGCAGAATTGCAAAGCAAGAATCACCACCTTGGTAGAATCTTCCGAGAAGTTTCAGATCGTGTTCGTCGTTCGCGACGCGATATCATTATCATCGTTAACGTGTTAACGTAACACGAATTAATTGTCCTCCCTCTGTTTTATCTTCTTCTTGTCGGATTATTAAACCGCTGACAAAGTGTAATAAAAATGGTCTGATATCGCGACAACATGCAGAACGATACGAGTTAATTGAAAAAACGAAGATGATCGTATCTTGTGAAGGGTATTAGCGCTTAATCGAAGAATTCAATTAAACCGTGTAGTCGCGGTTACTTAATATACGAAACGACCTGGTCTCTGTTTTATAAAGTATGGTAGTTCTTACAGACTCGTGTCAAAAAAATGAATGGTCTTTAATGTGGAAATATACGAGCAGAAATAAATCTATAAAAGATTTACGAAAAAGAGAAAAACTATTTGAGAATGCTTGGTGAACGCATTCCCCTTCCAAGACCAAACCCTAAGTTGGCAAGATACTGTGGACAAGTAAACAAAATGAAAGCAGAAAAAGATGTGCACGGATCCTTTCAAAGAGATTAACAGAGTACTTCGGCAGGCTACATATCCGCCTTTCCCCTCGAAGTTCAGTACTTTCTGCATCAAGGAGAGAGGAGAACGTCCACGGAACGGAGGCTGCGCGAAAATTCTCAAGGTACACCGTGTATATCGAGCAGGCAACGACCTTCGACGAAGCTCGGCGTCCGACCTCAGCAAGGATACTTGCAATCTGCAGTGCATCGGCCCGAGCCTCGTCAGATCGCTGACTTTACGTTTCACACCTACCTAGCAACGAAGGGGCACCGCTTTTATGGCCAGGACAGAACCGATCGGAGACCCCTCGTGTACTCTATTTACAGGCATGACCATGATTTCTCGCGGTGCACACCACACCCTAAAGGTAGGCTCACCGTGTTGTCACACGATCCTCACTTGAATCTAACTCGACGCAAAAAGACCCTCGATGTTCAATCGTTTTTTAGGATTGTATTCCCTTATGGTATAGACCACCCCGGTGAACGTGAGGGATTTTTGCGATTTCGTATTCTCCCAGACACATTTTTTTGCGGTTCGCCTCGACTGTGATCTTCCGTCTGTGTTATCTGGATGGAGAATTCCTGAAGCTCGGTTTTGTAGAGTTATGCAGCTCTTTATAACGCGTGACTGTGTTCCTTTTTACGATTTCCAGCCATGGCTATTGGTTTCTTCGACGTAAATAGATTCTTCGAAGACTCGTTTAGTTAGTTCGTGGGTAGCTGGAAATCGCGTGGATGTCGAAGGATGTCGGCGATGTCGGTGATTTTTGAGGATCGGTGATGTAGCACGTATGCTTGGATTCGTATTACCACAAATTGTGAGTATCATTATCGAAAATCAATACCTATGTAACGAATGTGCCTATAATAAACTAAATTACGATTAGGTGCTCATTGCACCTAGATTGCACTTAGGATAAGCTCATAAGTATCTTGAATTAATCCGACCTTCATCGTTACGCAACAGTCTATTGCTATTGATTTTCATCTTTGCTTATTTTGCTTGGTTCATCATTGATATTTAACTCCTTTCTTCGAAGGTTTTGTATATGGCTACCCTCATCTAAAGCTACCCTCACCTATTCGAACAGCACTAGTTCAAAATAAAGGAACAAAACAATGTTTATTATTCTACCCAAGAAATTTCAAATTCTTCCGTGCAAAACAGTTGCAAACACAAAGGTAACGTTTGCCGTGTGCGTAAGGAGATAATAGATCCCGTAGAATGCGGGTATTCTCTGAGGAAAGGATCACGGGAGAGCCATCAATTAGCGGCCGACGAAAGAAGTCTGTCGAAAGAGCCTAATATATTCGACTCGGTGTGGCCTTTAGTCTCCCTACGATTCGTCTCAGCCGCTTGGTGTACATCCTGGAGGAGATGTTGGAAGTTTTCGAGGTCGCCGATGTGAGAAGTCCACCTACACGAACGAGTCCGGCAGGCTCGAGGAATCGCACGTTTACACGAACACGTACGAGTAGAGAGAGGGGCTGCTTGCGTGTGCATGCCTTTATACGTGAAGATAGGGGCAGAAGAAGGGAACGGGAGGGTTACAGTGGAGATGGATGAAAAGGAAGCGGAAAAGGAGCAAAACGAACGCGAACCCGAGAGGATCTTTGAAACGGACGTGGTCACGGATTGCCGATGCCTTTGCACAAACAGCCATGATGAACGTGTAACGTGTGCTGTACAGCAAGAATCGATGTTAATAGCTAGGATTAGAGACTATTTCGCACGAATCACGTACTATTATTTCGGCATCGTTTTACTTATTGTGCAACCTCGAGGATATCTAATACTTTGAAGGATGACTGGACGAAGGAGAATTTTGCTACTCATGGGAATTCCGTTTGAAACCGCTATGAAATTTCTTTGGTATGGATGAAATTCAAACCACGGTTACTTCGCTCGCAGTTTTTGTAATCCAGTAACATCGAAGCTAACTATTTCTTGGCCAGAGCAAATAGCGACGTTCGTGAGTTAGGTCTGTCTTCAGCAGGCAACACCCACTTTGACCGTCGTAAAACACGAGATGCCAAACCACGAGAACGCGAATTCGAACGCATGCTGGATTGACCGAAAGTGGAAATTTATTATAAAGTACCGTTGCACCTATCATACGTCGTTCCGTTTCCATCGTGGAGACTGAAGCATTGTTCTCTCGCTACGTGCTCTAACGGTTCAAAAATTCTTCAAAACTATCCTCTCCGTATACCGTTGGCCGTGGTTTAACGCAAGGCAAGGCCTCGGTCAAGTGACGTGGCAACAGGAATGACAGGAGTTGAATTCCATCGTCGCGATGCTGGATGAGAAGTTATCAGACCGCAAGGCATCCACGGTATTCCCTTCTTGCAGAGTCACGTATACCCATCGGTTATTGCATTGATTTCCTCGATGATCCTACATCCATCCCGGTTTCTTCGGGGATCTACCGAACTCGCACGAAAGGTACTCATAAAATGATTCACGGATGAATACCATGTTCGAGCTATTCAGAAATTCAATCTCTATCTAGATAGGAATATTGAATGGGTATCTTTACGGGAAACGTGACTATCAAGGGGAAACGTTGAAGGCTAATCGAATTATTGTTAGTCGCGTAAAGACAAAGTTTAAGCGAGCCATTAGGCTCTCCATTTCCGCATGATCGACCACCCAATGCGACGATCTTCGAGACCCGGTACACTAAAAGTTGTTTTGCGTGCGATCCCTTCTAGATGTTTCGAAGACACGCCATATTCGATGCATGCATATCTGATATTTTCAGAATGCTTGCAGGGTCGTTATCATCTTGCGAATAGCGGAGCGAGATAATTTAATTGCTTCGTATGCAACTTCGATAAGACGTTGCTCACGGGGCAAATATGTCCCTAGTTCGATCCTGTGAAGGGAATTTTGGGAATGCAGAAGATCTTCGCGTGTCTCGTAATAACACATTTTATCGTGGAATTTAATGAAAGCGTAGTGCGAGGATTTTTGATCACGCGAGACATTGTAAACGTGAATTATTATTCATTATCTTGTCCCTTCATCGTCGGACGTTCGTACCTGATAGAAAAATTCGTTGTCGAGGCCATGGGGAGATAGCATGTTTATTACGTCGAATGGGTCATGGATGTACACCTTTTGGCTCCTGGCACGAAGGTGCTACGGTAGCCGG